TCGTCCTCCTACCTACGTACTAGTAGTAAAAGTACACATATAGTAGTGTAGTGTAGTGTAAGACGTACGACCGTAACCAACTAACTAACAACAACTAATTATATATATATATATATATATATATATATATATATATATATATATATATATATATACAGAAATAATTTATTCAACTTAAATCAGTATTTTTTCATAACCAAACTCGAAGTGTCAGAGAACACTGGCTGTGTGTAATCCTCTTTGTCCACTAATACAGCTCTTTCAGGTAACTTAACACACTGTCACTTTCCCTCGAGAACTGGCATGGGGCACATTGCAACCATTCTGGCTAAAGAGCATGTGTCAGATCATTAATCTGGTGAAATATTTCTTATCATATGCCACATATAGTTATTAAGTCCCACGAATATGGTATTAAAACTTATAAATTATACATTCTTTTAAATGTACACTTTTTCAAGTGGCTTACTATTTTTAAAATACAATGAAAGTCACTTTTTTGTAGTTATTCATGTTAACATTAGAGGAGGTGTACAAAGCATTATACAAGTCAAAGTTGGTGATGTTTCGAGAATATTTTGTTGATACTGATTGCAGACTATTGTTGCTGAAACTGAAGTTAAAGGATATTAAAAGTATTGTGTGTGTGTGTGTATGAACTCTGTTTTTTCTCTTGTTTAATTTAGAGGAAATTGCCTGTTTTCTCCTTGTAATACATGCACATTCAATTTATTACTAATGTAAGTAGTTTCAAATAATTAAGTGTTGTATGTTTTATTTAAAATTGGACTCGCAAAAAGTAAAATTAGGCTTTGGATATGAGATCATTACCCTGATCGTGATGACACATGCTGATCAATTATGGCAAAGATCAAGCACTTATCAAATTTATCATTACACCATTAAGAAACACAACTCACACTACTACATGTGGAGAAGTCAAAGCCGTTTTTAAATGAATTGGGAAAGATTTAGCGATGACCATATAGTATTCTTCATAGATATGTCACTAATATGCAAGATCTGGCAAGTTATTATCATCAAACATCTTAGAAAGAAAGGATCACAACATCCTTTCCATTAAGTCTTGATATCCTAAAAATCATCTTCAGTGGTGCAAACTTCCAATGCATTAGATATTACATCTACTGACATAAGCTGTCCCGAATTGTGCTAATCAAGCTGCTATCGTCCAATATCCTATGGGTATAACTTAAAATGAAATTCTACTCGATAGCTTAGAAAGTAAGTGGTCGAAGTTTGATGGACTGTCAGAACTGACTCTTGCCTCTATATCCAGTGCTTCTTCATCTAACTCATCAGATAAATACTCTCAGATCTTTCCTCTACATCTTCAGGATCAAAGTGGAATAATACAATATCTTCCTCCTCATCTGTACTAAGGTGAGTGTGCATCTTTACCACACCAAACACATTATCTACCCAGGGAACAGTTGGCCATTAAATTTATCTTCCTGATCTATGTTGATCTCTTCAGGTGCTTTAATCTAGGCTATCCAGTGCTCAATCTGCACACCTGCCACAGACCTTGTAGACGTATCACCCAATGCATAAGCCTTGGCTCACTTTGCAAGGTACTTTATGGCCATGAGTATATACAGATGACCTCGTTACATTTCTGGGAGTGGACCTGTAATATCCAGGCTGTTCTATGATGAGAAGAACCGACAACTCTTTGCTGGAGTTTAACCGTATTTAGGCCAGTTTTTTCTCTGGATGTCATACAACACAGTGTTTATACCAGTCCTGAAAATCTTAATTCAAATATGGCCAACAGAACTACCAATAATTAGTGCATGTAATACTTTGGTGCCATCGAGTTTTTGTGTTGGATAAAGTCTGTAGAATCTCGTACGTCAAAGCACAGGAGACTACTAGTTGTAACACAGCTTGAAACCCACTGCTTGGTGATTGATACAAATGGTACAGCACATCTTCCTGCACACGTAACTGCTCATACCAATGCTATATATTACGTGCATCAGTGCTATGTTCCTCAACATTAGCTGGCTATGCTTTAGAGTGTTGCACAGCAAGGAACACTATACTAGATCTGGATTCTTTGGGTGCTCTCCTTAGTGCTCCTGCAGTGTTAATTGGGTCATCCATCCCCTAGTGGAATTTCTTTGTCTATGGCTTGTCACTATGACGAAAATGGTCACAATTTCGACATGGTGTCAGAGATCTGGACATTCCATAAACAGACAGAATCTCATTCTTTGGTAAAACAATGTTTATGCATGTGTTACCATGCTGCAATAATGTATGAATAAATAATATTCCTTCAATTC